CTATAGCATAGAAAGCTTATCAAAGCGAGCAAGACGATACATAAACCTTAAGCAAGCGAATAATAAAAAATCAATAACAACATAGATAGAAAAAACAACAACAAAACATAGACAAAAAAGCAGCTACAAAAAATAACAAACAAGCAACAACATAGATATAACAACCCTAGCAACAAAAACATGATGAGCAGCAAAAACAAAAACATCGAAGACATAAACAACAACAGCACCAACTATAGTAACATAGATAAAACAAAACAAAAACAACAAATACAACATAATAGATAAAAGAATATAAAACAAAGATAGCTAAATAAAAATGGGAATGGATATAATTCTGAGCGAAAATAGGGAATGTTCATGTTTATGGCCGTCGAGCGATGATACGTTCTGCTTTATGGGTGGTGTTGTTGATTATTTTGTTGTCGTCTTTGTTCTTGTCGTTGTGTTTGTTGCTGGTGATGATGATGATGTTTTTTTTGTTGCTGATGTTGATGTTATTGATATGATTCTTTTCATTTCGAAGAAAATGATGACAATGATGACATCAACATGACAACAACAACAGCAACAACAACAACAACAACAAAGATTACGATGTAAAAACAACAACAACGACGACGACGACGATTACATCAAAATGGCGATGATGAGGATGACGTCATAGTTATTGTGACGTGGTTTATGAGCTGTTGTATGTTGAATAAATGATAGAGATGTTCTGGGCCCAGACGTTAATGTGAAAATTATCAAGAAAAGTTTTATATGTATACCTGAGTGTGTTGTTGTTGTTGCATTTTTTGTTGTTGCTGTTGAGTTTGTTGTTGCTGTTGTTGTTGCTGCTGTTATAATTCACAATATGGCGGTAAACTTTGACCTCAACCCAATAAATTTTTCTAGGTTAGTTAGGGTCATTATCATAAAAAATGTCTCCAAATATTATATAAAAATAGAAAAATATGGACTATCTAATAGTTTTTTCATTATTTTTTCGTAATTTTGAAAAATTATTTATGTATTTATTTTGTCGTTCCTTCACTCATTCACTCATTCATCCATCCATCCACTCACTCACTCATTCACTCACTCACTCACTCATTCATTCATTCTCTCATTCATTCACTTACTCATTCCCTCATTTATTCATTCATTCATTCATTTGTTCGTTCTTTCGTTTGTTCAATCACATTGGCAAAACCAAAGACTCCAAAAACTAAGGAAAAAGAGACATTTTTTCTTCTTAATTCATCGTAATCAAATAATGTAGCGTTCCACTAAATTTAATTTAGAGAACTTCAAAAGGTAAGATAAATTGCTTAAACGCGTGCGCACGTTGGGTAGATTCTACTACTACCAGCACTACTTTTAGCATTAATTTAGTACTTAGGCTACTTATAAAAATATTTGCTATATTACTATTAACTCATTAATGTTAATGTATTAATTAATATTATTGTTGTTGTTGTTGTTGTTTTTTGTTGTTGTTGTTGCATTGTTGTTGTCGTTGTCGTTGTTGTATTGTTGTTGGTTGTTGTTGTTTGTTGTTGTTGTAGCAAAGTTTATTACTAAAAGACGTGCGCGTTTACTGTTATTCTTACTATGCCTAGTACTGATATAATTATACGTATTTACAGTGTTGTTGTTGTTGTTATTGTTATTATTATTATTATGAAATATTATTATTGTTATTATTATTATTGAATATTATTATTGTTATAACTATTATTGAATATTATTATTGTTATTATTATTCTATTGGATTGCTACTAAGACTAGGAGACACTGCAGAAGAGATTTAATATTTTTTCCAAGCAATTTTTGAAATATTATTATTGTTATTATTATTATTGAATATTATTATTGTTATTACTGTTATTGAATATTATTATTGTTATTATTGTTCTATTGGATTGCTACTAAGACTAGGAGATACTGCAGAAGAGATTTAGTATTTCTTCCAAGCAATTTTTTACTTTGGAAGCTGGAAAAATATCGCAAGGGACGATGTAGCGATCAACTTTGATTGAATTATAAATGTATGTATGTGTGTGTGTGTGTG